GGTGCTATGAAAAAAGGGGATTTAAGATGTGCAGCAACGCACTGAATGTCCCAATGAAATGTAGGTGTTGTGTGGACACCAGGGGGCTGAACGGCTGACACAAATATATTTTTACTTCTGCAGGAAGAATATGCAACCATTTTTTTTTTTTTTTTTGCGTCACGATGAGCTTCGTTTTTTTTTTTTTTTTTTGTGTTCTCTGCGTGGGAGGCTGCCATGATGCATCGCTGTTGTGGCGTCTATGATTTGGAGTTTCTGCGTGTGGCCGCGGTTGCACCGAATTCTCTTCCCACTTTTGTGTGTCAGCGGCGATGTGCCCGTGCCCTCTTGCAGAGTGTGTGCGGTGACGGCGGTACCACACGGGTGTGAGACCTTAGCGAGCGGCGTGCGTGGGCGAACCCTCCGTGCCCACCACTTTGTTGTCGTTGCCTCTCAAAAACACTGTTCCGGGTGAATGGCACCCACTTGCCGCCGTTTCGGTGGTCCTCGTGCATGTGGTGTGCATCACACACCGTGTGGAGGACTTTCTTTTTGTGGCTGCGATTCATTTCTGTGCATATTTTCTTTCCCTTCTTATTTCCCTTTCGGTTTTTGGTCGTTAGTGTTGAGCTTTAACTGAATCCAGTTACGAGGACAAGGAGAAACAATGCCTGGTTTGCGCAGGAGAGCGCACGGTGCTAAAGAGGGGTGTCAAGCGACTGCTCTGCCGCAGGGAGATCGTCGGAGGAGAAGAGCGAGACGGAGTTTGAGGGTGACACAGATCAACCCGCTGCGGCTCGCGGAAGAGCGGAGGAAGCGCAGTGCTCGCAGTGGAGCATGAGCAGCAGCGTAAAGGACATCCTGCAGGAGAGAACCACGGGCACAGCCAACATGGAGCTAAATGATTTTCTTCATAGGGAATCGGGCGAGGAGTGGGTTGTGAATAGAAATGGGAACTACTCCATGGAGATGTTTTTCTTTGAAATCCAGGATGTTTATCCAAGACGAAGTGTTATTGGGCATGACAACGGCATTGCCGTGTTAAGAAGAGCTGGATGAGGAAAATACTATTGGAGGCTATTTATAAATTTGAAGGAGAAGGCGTTTCCTTTCCTGAGGAGTGGAGGAACCTTGAAAGAAAGGATACGGTTACCCCTCTTGCAAGGGGAAACTGCACGCAGTCTTCTTTTGAGCACTGACGGAAGACGAAAAGGAGAGGCAAGGGGCAGAATGAAAGGACGCTGGAGGATCATACGAGTCTTTGTAAAATGCGAGGTGGAGCCATGTGGTGGAAATTCCTGACAGCGAGAAAACGAAAACGGGGACGGGAATGAAGGTGGAGGAGGGAAAACCGAAACAGTCATGGACTTACAAGGCAGTTGGCGACACCCTCGAAAAGGATGACGGTGTGGGGCAATCCGCTGCAGTACGTCCCAGCCTGATGGTGCACACCTTGGACAAGGCATGGCCGTGCTCGTGGAAAAGGAAGGTAAAACCGCTCGTGACTCGCCATGTGGACTGTGAGGTGGATTGAGTGTGGCAGACCGTCAAGGGCGATCTCACCGAATGGTTCAGCAGTCACGGTGGGAACTACTTTACGCCTAGGCGGCGTGTGTTGATTGGGACGCCCTGGATTGGGAAGTCGATGGCTGCCGGCTCGTACTTTCTCTACAAGCTGCTCCACTACGATGCGGAGAAACTCCAAGTGGTCGCGCACATTTTTGGTGGAAGTACGGCGTAAGTGTTTGGCAATACCACACCAAGGGTGACAAAAAACATGGGTAGTAAAACATCCAAGAATGTTTTTTATGATTTGTGGGATTGTGGAATGAAGGGGTATATTACCTACAATATGACAAAGAAAGGAACACTGCCAGAAACATTTCTTTTGCTCTTTATTGCATGGTGCATGATTGTGGTGTCACCCCCAAACTGGGCAACTGTGATAAATGGGAGACGCAAGTAAAAGCCGAGCGAATCATCGCGAATTGCTCCGACGAGATGGATGTGAAGGCGATGTGTGCATGGATTAAGCGCGATGGGAATACAGATAAGCAAGCGGAATACTGGAAGATGGTCGAAGAACGCATGGATATAGTGGGGCCGATTCCACGTTACACCTTCGATGCGAATGAGTTCGTTGCGCACTCTGCTGCCATTGGGTATGCCTTGGATGGGATCAATTCTTGGGATGGTGAAAATCACTTTACACATCGGGGGGGGGGGGGGGGACTGTGGTATTCTGAGAATCCGTCTCAAAAGCTCGTGAGGATAGTCCGAGCAAGAGGAGAATTCGTTGCCGAGAGATTTCTTAACGTACCGATATCTGTTTGCCTCGGGCGTCGAATACCGCACTATTTTGGGAAACGTAATGAGTGAGAAAGATATTTTTTTTCTGTTGCTGGTATTTGGAAAGAGGAGTACTCTTTTGTCTGAATGTATGGGAAGGGTTTGGCTTGCGCGCATTCGTGTTTGGTGGAGTTTGTCAGTGCATTAGTAGAGGAACTCAAGGAGCTGAGGCCACCAGCACGCCGTGGAGGAGGGTACGCAGTGCTGAAGGCGAATTCTGAAGGGCACCCCGCCGAGTTATATGTGGGTTGCTTGCAATGGAATAACATACAAATAATAATATGAAGCATCGGCTGCTGTGCATACCGGAGGTCGGGAAATTTCCGTTGGTGGACGGCTTTTTCTTCTTCATGGAGTCAAATCCGAGGACGCTGGTTGGGCTGCGGATGGCTACGGCGAGTGAGCATCCACCACCGCCAGCACTGTGCGGCAGTTCATCGAGCGCCTGGCGGCGTATTTTAGTGGTTGGGAGGAATTGTCTCGGGACATGTCGTGGGGGATTATTTAAGTGCAGCACGCAGACAGCACGCCGATGACTGGCTGGCGGAGATGCCATACCGTCAATCGAAATAGTGTTTGCGACGATGAAGGCCGTGAAATAGCGGCATTCTGGAAGGAAAAGGGGCGCCAGTACCAAGTGTCAATATCATCGTAAAGCTCCAGAAGGGGCGAAGCTCACCGAAGTAAGGAACAACCACCGAAATGGGAAAAGCAAATTGGGGAGGGAAAGGGGTGGTTTGATTTTTAGTAAAGAACATTGGGGTTTGATTCAGTGCATTTGGATGCTTTTGTGCGTGCACACGAGGCATAATCGGAGAATTTCCCCGGTGTGAGCGAATCATTGCGGCTGACGGTATCACGGCGTTACTGCATGTTCATTTTCTTCTGTTGTGTTCTAAGTCCCATGATCAACGGAAGCATCTTCAAGTGATGGACGACGAATAACTTATATTGGGAAACAGTGTACTCCGTGTGACCGCATGGAGTGAGGTGCCGCGTCATGGGTGGATGAGGACCGCACCACATCTCTCTTTCCACTCACAATCCTTTAATTTCACTGCAGGCACACGCGCCGCGCTTCATCGGCGTGATTACAAACAGGGCGTCTATGAGTCGACAGGCCGCACAATCGATGTGGACTCTTGTCCCCCGTGTCTGAGTGCCGCCGCCGTACTTATTCATCCTTCCTTCTTGTGTGTGCCGTGTGCGCTTATGGTGCCGCTTTTTTTGTGCAATGCCGACCCACGTGAGGGAGAAACGGCGTCTTGACTGCTGGTGAACGGCGAATCCTCCACTCATTTTCCGCATCACTATTTTATTCTCGGACGCGCTTGATGGCCACCGGCTGTAATGATGCCACGCGGGTCTGTCTCGGCCCTGTTTGTCTTTCACGGCATCGGGACTGCTCTGTGGTAGAAATATTTGGTCGCAAGAGCGGTGCTAATAGCAATGTGTCTTTTGCTGGGATCCTGCCATTCTGCACGGTGGTTGTGTGAGGCTGCGCGGGCGGTGTGAGGGCGATGGTGTCACTGGCGTGATTGTGTCTGCGCTTCTTTTTGTCGGTGGTTGTGCTTTGGTGGGGACTGTCTGTGGCCAGATGCTTTTGCGTGCCACTTTGTTTATTTGCTGTTGTTGCTGCCTTTTCCTTTTCTGACCGTGCAGTTAGAGATACTTTGGCTTGAACATCACAACTATCGTTTCAAGGTGTTAGGAATTACTTGCAGTAGTAGGATTAGCAGCAGTATTATAACGTTCTGGTGGAATCGCTTCACTGGATTTGCCATCTGTAGGAAGGGATCTGCTAGGCAGGAGTTATGGTTGACGGGGCGAGTGCGACATACCACGAGAGCCCCGTTGGTACCTGTTTGGGCTGGTGGATGTGGTCTCCGGTGGGTGCGTGTCCGCGCAGCCGGCACCGTGTGTTGCGCAGGGCCGTTACGGCTGTGCGTGTGGCGCTGCTCGTTGTGTTGGCGCTGGCGGCGGCGGCGTGGATGCCTGCTGTGCATGCGGTGGTGTTGCGACTGCGGGGCGGTACGGTGGACAGAGCCATCACGGTTGGCCGCGCCGTGGACACGGTGCTGATGGACGGCGTGTCTGTCACGAACGGTGTGGCTGTGGTTTTTGACGTGCCGGCGATGCTTCCCGGCGCGCTGCGCATCGAATTGAGGAACTGCGTGTGCGACGGCGGTGCGCAGATCTACGTGCGGGGCTACAGCGGCGAGCCGGCGAGTGACCGGAGCCTGGAGGTGGGCGTGAGCGGGCTGTCCGGGAGCTACTGCTCGCTTGTGCTTATGCACAACCTGCCGGCACGCACGAACGTGACGGTCCGTTACTCGACGATTGTGACGCCTGGACCGATGCGCTACTCCCAACTGAGCGGGCTGACGGAAGCGGTGGCGTCGCCGCTTGTGCTGCACGCGACGTCGCTGTTGCAGTCGCAGCTGCGTGTGAGCAACACCGTGCTGAGGTCGTCGCAGGCGGGCGGGTCGGCGGTGTACGTTGGCGGCGGTGTGGACCTGCTGTCGAGCGCGGTGGTGTTTGACGGCGTGTCGCTGGAGGCGTCGGGCGGGGCGACCGCGTCCGCGATGCATGTGGCGTCTTCGTCGATTCTCAGTCTGCGGAGCCACTCGGTGTTCTCCGTGACGAACGTGTCGGTTGTGAGCAGCGGCGGTGGCCTTGTGCTTGGAGAGCGTGTTACTGTGTCTGACTCGGTGCTGCGCCTCGTGGGCGTTGAGGGGTCTGTTGCGTCGTCGCTGGTGCGCTGCGACGGTGGGACTGTCGGTGCCGGCGGGTGGCTGGACATGCACGACGTGTGGGCGGTGGGCGAGGCGTCGTTGGTGGCGTCGCTGTCGGGGGTGACGCTGAGCGGCGGCACCGTGTCGATTGCGCGATGCGCTGCCACTGGCGCTACGCTTGTCTCCGGGCTGGCGATCACGAGCGGGGCCGTGTCGGTGCAGTGCAACCGTGCCGGCGGCCGGGTGCTGCAGAGCAGCGGCGACTACCGCATGGCCGGCCTGCCCTCCGTGAGCGTGGTGCCGTGCGATGGCTGTGCGGCCGCGCTGGCGTGCTTTGATGCGCTGACGGCGTCGTTCTCCGACTGCGTGTGCAGCTGCCGTGCCGGCGGCGTGGGCGAGGCATGCCTGCCGTTCAACGTGCCGCCTGCGAGGGCCGGCGGCGGTGGTGGCGGCGCGGAGGGCTGCGTGAGTGGCGTGACGCTGACGGAGTCGGTGACGGTTGGCGGCGGGCGGGCGACGGCGTGCTTCGACTCGGTGGTGTTTAGCGGACCGATCACTGTGACGGTGGATCTGCGCATGATGGACGTGTTCGCTGACGCGCTGAACGTGACGCTGCGCCACTGCGTGCTTGCGGGCGGCGCGCAGCTGCGGATTGGTGGTCTCAGCGAGAACACGGCGCGCCTGGTGCCGCACGCCCTCGTCAACATGACGAATGTGACGTCGCTGGAGGGCACGATCGTGCTGCATGGCGCGATGCCGCTGAACTCGAGTGTGCTGCTGGCGAACTCGACGCTGCGCGCGACGGTTGGCGGGTCGCAGTACGTGCCAACGACCCGTGGACACGAGGGATCCCGGTACGGCACCGCGCTTGTTCTGGACGGCGTCCGGCTTCTGTCGACGCGGTTTGTCATGACGCGGTCGACGCTGGTGTGTGGCGGGGAATTGTGCGCTGCGATCCTCTTGGAGCGCGGCTTTGTTGTGAACCTGTCCAGCGTCTTCTACATGGACAACTGTGCTGTTCTGTCACGGACGCACGTGATGTACGCTCTTGCGTCGGACCTGCGTGTCAGCGGCGGCTCCGTGTTCTCCATACAGAACAGCTCGTGGAGTGCACCGAGTGCCGATTACCACAAGGGCGCGTGTGTGTTTGAGGGCGTTGCAGTGGATGGCGGCAGTGTGCTGCAGATTGTGTCCAGCGAGTTCCGTCTTGGCTTCGCCATGCTCATGGCAAACACGCTGACCGTGACTGACGGCAGCTGGCTGGTGCACTGCGGCAACGAGTTCCGCACCGCCTACGTTTTGTACGTTGTCAACGAGAACGGCGTGGTGTTTTGCGATCAGAGTGTGTGGTCGATACTTGACAACAACTTCACGCACGGCTCGTACTCGTCAACTATCGCACACATGACAAACGATTGGCCACTGTCATCCGACTCGCGTCCGACCATCTACGGCGTGTGCAACGAGGCAAGGGGCTCACCTGTGACGGATTACCAAGAAGAGCTCAACATTGGGACGCCCGTGACGGTTTTGGACTGTGGCGCGTGCACTGTGGACGCCGTGTGCTTTGCAGCGAGGACGAGCAGCATCAGCGGCTGTGAGTGCGTGTGCGCTTCTGGCGGATACGGTGACACGTGTCTGCCAGCTGCGGTTCCGGACGGCCTTGGGCCGCTCCCGCTCCCCGATGCGAAGGACACGGAGGTCCGCTGCGTGCACGGTGGCAGCATAAGCTCCGTGGACGATCCTGATCCCGGTGTGCGTGGTCTGTGCTTCGTCAACGTGACCTTCACCGCCGCGATTGTGCTGGACCTGTTGCATTTTAACGCACCACAACAGACACTCAAAATCACGCTGCTGCAGTGCGTCCTCATGGGCCTGTCGATCAAGGGGAGTGGTGCGCGAGTGCACGTGAACGTGACATCCTCGATGTTGGATTCTGGTAATTTGGAGTTTGAGGGTGATTTTGGGGCGAGTTCCCAGATACTGGTGGCGGGCAGTGTGCTTGTGACGACTTCGGATCACGCCATCTTGTTTTTGAGGTTTTCTCTCGGTGCGAACTCGACGCTGCTGCTACTAGACAACCGCATCGAGGCGAATGTTCACTCAATTTATTTCTTTAGTGTTGTTTTTGATGGTAGGGGGATCATTGTGAAGGGAAATGCGTTGAGGGCAACGGATAATAAATACCGTATGGGATCAGCCGTTTATTTTCACGCTGTTGATGTGAGGAACGGCGGCTACTTTGACATAGAGAAAAATACTATGAGAGCGGCCATTGGCGTTGAACTGTTTTCGCATGCCACCGTGAGATCCGCGGGGCTGCTGCGAGTGGCGGACTGTACATTCGCTGGCAGCACGAGGGTCGTGAATAGCAGGCTGTTGTACTTGGACGGCTCTTTGACTCTCGAAGGAGGCGCGCAGTGGCGTGTGGAGGGCAACAACGTGGATGCAGCCTCAGTGTTATGTATGCCTTATTCGTGGCACAAAATTCAGCTGTCGGGCAGCGGCACCACCGTGACGCTTGCACACAACCGCCAGGTGGACGATAGTTATTCCTTTGCTGACCTGGCTCTGCCGAGCATGATCAAGAAGCCACCCGCACGGTTTGTCGTTGGGTGCAACCTGCAGGGCGGTGAGGAGGTGTCGTACGACGCTGTGTTTCCGGAGGACGTGGTGGTGTTTGGGTGCGGCACATGCAACGACGACGCGGCGTGCTACATGCTCGGGACGGAGTCGGTGGACCGCAGCTCATGCTCGTGCAGCTGCAGGGTCGGATGGCATGGCGCGTCGTGTCTTCCCTTCGAGGTGCCCGACACGGTTGTGCCGCCCGTAGCGGAGAGAGCCGTCGACGGCGACACGAGCTGCGTGGTGAACCAGACGCTGACGAACCTCACGCTGAAAATGTGGAAGACGCACCACTGCTACGCGGGTGTGACGTTCAGCGGCGTGGGTGCTGTGCTGACGTTCTCCCTCAACAGTATGCCGCTGCATCTCCCCATCAACATCACGCTCACTGGGTGCACATTCCGTGGCGGTGCCGTGCTCCAGTTTGTTGGAGGTGCTGAGGCGGCCGAGTCATCCGGCGTTCTGATCCGCGTGAGCCAGACGGTGATGCGGTCCTCCGTTGTTGTGTTTGCGCTTGCCCTCCCGCAGCACTGCGACATCGCCGTCACGGAGGTTGACGCGGAGCAGTCCTCCGAGGTCCAGCTGCTTGACACAAAGATTAACATGCTTAGCGTATTGTTGCTGGGAGACGTCGTGTTGAGTGCGTCATTGTTGTTGGTCAGCAACTTCAAGGCGCACGCAACAAGGTATGATGCGTTCGGTTTGCACTCCACAGGGACGCTGACGCTCGTGGGTGGCAGCTCGCTGTACGTGCGGTACTGCAGCTTCGATGGATACACACACATGTTCCACGTGCCTAGTCTCAGTGTGAGTGACCACTCTGTTTTTGCTTTGCTCAACAACACGATGTCCTCCGGGACAAGCCTCCTGCATCAGTGTCTAGACTTTAAATTGTCGGAACACAGCGTGTTGCGCGTGGTGGGGAACAGCGGTTCCGTGTCCAACGCCATTTACGCGAACAATTTGTGGACCGTTGAGGAGTCAAGCTGGTTGGATTGGCGAGACAACGACGTGGAAGTGGGTGCAATGCTCTACGACACTGAATCCGCTTTTGTGAGCATTGACAGCAGCAGCGTGGTGACGCTGGCTGGCTGCAAGATGGGCTTGACGGGGTTGTCGAGGCCTCTGCTATCGCAGTCTGAAGCCGGCTACCAGTTCTTTGCCGGGTGCCTGACAGTCGCGGGACGGTTGGTGACGACGGCGGCTGAACTGGCGCTCCACGGCATTACCAACGTGACGACGGTTGCAGTGTGCGGTGAGTGCACAAAGGAGAGCGACTGCTTTGCCCCGCTGACGACGGCGGTCATTGGCTGCAAGTGCCAGTGCGCTGCTGGAGGGCACGGCGATGTGTGCGTCCCGGCGCCTGTGCCTGCTGGCCCGCCACCACCAACGCCACTGCCACCACCGCCACCGCCGCCGTCACCGCCGCCGGTTGGTGAGTGCATCAGCGACATGGTGTACCCCGAGGTGGCGCAGGCAGTGGGCGGCGGGCTGTCGTGGCTGTGCTACCGCAACGTGACGTTCAGCGGGGGCGGCATGAGCCTGACAGTGCTGATTGGCGCGATGACGGGCGACGTGGCGAACGTCACGTTCGATGGATGCACGTGGAGGGACGGCGCCGTGCTCTTGCTCTTGGGCAACGCGTACGCCGCTGTGGGGTCGCTGAACATCGTCGTCACCGGCAACACGTTTATTGACGCGCTGCTTAGCCCGGAGGGTGTGTTTCCACCGCACACGAACATCACGATCAGCGGGAACCGCTTCACGGTCACGAGGCTGATCCCTCGGTCGGGTTTAGACCTTGGTAGCCCGTCGTGTGTCGCGATGAGTCGACTGGTGATCAGCAACGACTCCGCGGTGGTGTTCAGTGGCAATGTGTTTCAGAGCGTGAGGGCATCGTCAAGCGCCATCCGCGTTCTCAGATCTGCGCTGAGGGTGTCGTGGCACTCCGTGTTTGCGGTGGTGGGCAACGCGTTTCATATGTACGGCGGAGACAGTACGCTGATACATCTTGAGGGATCTAGACAGTCATTGTCGCTGAGTGTACTGAACAACTCTGCCGTGGTGATCCGAGGCAACGCTGTGCTGGGGGGGTTAAAGCACTTCATGCTTTTTTTTTGGGCTTCACGTGTTGAGTCCCAGTCAGCGGTTGTTATTCGGGGAAACGACATTCAGGGAGGCTCGGCTGTGTTTATCTCAAGATCCATTTTCCAAATTTACTACAACTCATGGCTGCAGTTGAGCGGCAACCTCTGCCGCGTGTCCCCATCGAATGCTTTTGCCGTCCTGATACCAATGGTAAATCTCCGCGACTCCACGGTGTCTGTTTCCGGCAACCAATTCATTTCCAGCACGGTTACGCCGAAAGTTTTGCGGATATCCACCGGGCCCCGCGATATCACAAACGGAGCGATTGTGGCCGCGTGCAACACTGTGAACGGCGAGGAGAAGGAGGTGAAATACAGCATCCCGTCCGTGTACAATGCCACCATTCTGACCTGCAGCGACCCATGCGCCCTTGCGGCGTCGTGCTTCCCCGCGTACACGACGACGGCGTCGAGTGATGGCTGTGCCTGCACGTGCGCGGAGGGCGGCCACAGCGATGCGTGCCTGCCCGTTGCTGTCCCCGAGCCACCGAGTACCGACGGCGCCGACTTGTGCGTGCGCGACGTGCGTGTGGATGTGGAGGTGAACGTCAGTTTTGGGACGTCGGTGGCGTGCTACGTTGGTGTGACCTTTGCGGCGGACGTCGTTGTGGACGTGGAGTTGATGTCAGGGAGCGTGCGCAACGTGACGCTGGCGAACTGCACTTTTTTGGACGGAGCGAGCCTGTACGTTGTTGGGTGGCGGTCCGACCCGACTGCTGGCGAGCGCGTCGATGTGTTGATCAGCGGGCTTGAGTCGCGCTCCGGCGGCGGCGTGGTGGTGGCGAACCGATACCCGCCGGACTCGCGCGTCACTGTGGTGGACTCGGTGCTGATTGCGGAGGCGCGTGTTGCGTACCGCGGCGCCTACGACCTTGGCGACGCCTCCGCGTGCCTCGTGTTACACAACGTGAATCTGACGGGGAGTGTGCTGGCCATCGCACGCACGCAATTGGCGGCGGTGTTCCGCGACGCTGTTGGCGTGTTGGTGGTTGGCGGCGTGGCGCTGTCGTCGCGCGGTGCGCTGTACGTGGACGGGCTTTTTGTGCAGACGGCGCTCGGGCTGTGCGTGTCTGTGGAGGGCGGTGTTGCGGCAATTGGCGGCTCTGTTGCGGCGTTTGTTGACAGCCACTTCCTGCTGTGCAAGCACGCGGTGTCTGTGCGTGGGGCTGTGAGCGTGTCGGGCTCCGCTGTGGTACTTGTGCGGAGCGACTTTGTGTCGACGGGGGACTACGCGGTGGCGTTTTATTCGACGGTGAGCCTTGCCGGCGGGTCGATGCTGCTTGCGAAGGGCAACGTGCACGACGGCGTCTCG